CTGAATCAAATAGAGACAGGTAAAGATTCTAAATAGGCCCTGATTACTTATTCAAAAAAGGGAGGTTTTGATGACATGAAAAGAAGGTGGAAGCAGGGAAAAGGAAAGCTCCAGAAAGAAGTTACGCCGATAGAAAAGAGAAGAAGAAGTTTGAAGAAAGATCTGAATCCTCTAAAGGAGGAGGAGGATATAGAAAATTTCAAACAATAAAATGTTTCAATACAAAAGAAAGATCCAATGCTTCAATTGTGAGAAGTATGGTCATTTTGCTTCAGATTCCTGGTTTGTAAAGGGAAAGAAAAAGACTGGTGCAGAGGAAACTAAGATGGTGCAAGATGATTCAGATTCAGATTCTTTCATGTTGATGATAACTACCTTTGAAGGGGTTCCAACTTCTGATGTATGGTACATAGACTCTGGTTTTTCTAACCACATAACTGGATACAAGGGGTGGTTGGTTGACTTTAACTCAAATAAGAAAACAAGTATGAATCTGGAAGATAGCAGAAGCTTAATGGCATAAGGCATGGGAAAGGTTGTCATACAAAGAAAGGAAGGCAAAAAAAATTGATAGAAGATGTGTTATTTGTCCCTAGTATGCAATGTAATCTGCGGAGCATTAGTCAGCTGGTAGAAAAATGATTCTTAGTAATCATGGAAGGAGGCTCTCTGAAGTTATATGACAAGAAGAAATAATGGTTCTGAAATCAACTCTGACATGAAATAGAATTTGGAAGGCTAGCTTGTAGGCCTCAAAATCACAATGTATTTACTCATCAGTTCATGATGAAGAAAACTGGCTTTGGCACAAAAGTTATGGGCATCAGAATTTTAAAAGTCTAGGCAATCTGAATACTACAAATTTAGTAGAAGGATTGCCTAAGATAGTGACACGTGATAAAGCATGTGACATTTGCATGTTTGGGAAGCAAAATAGGTTACCTTTTACGAAGTAATTGTCAATGAGAACCAAACATGTAATAAATGTAGTTTCATCTGAAATTTGTGGTCCTTTTGAAACTCTTTCTTGTGAAGGAAGCAAGTACTTCATCTCATTTGTAGATGAATTTAGTAGAATGTTATAGGTGTACCTGATAAAGACCAAAGGAGAAGCTTTAAACATGCTAAAAAGGTCTAAGGCTTTGTTTGAAAATCATAGTGGATGACTGATTAAGATACCCAGAACAAATGGATGAGGGGAATACAATTCCCATGAATTCAAGCAATTTTGTCATGAGAGTCGCATCTTGCATAAAATAACCCCTTACACACCTAAACACAGTGGTATGGATGAAAGAAGGAACATAAGCTTGGTTGAAATGCCTAGGAGCATGCTAAAAAGAAAGTCATTGCCTCATAAATTTTGGTGTGAAGTAGTGTCTACTGCTACTAATTTCTAAATAGATATCCTACCAAGAGTTTAAATTATTAGTATCCAAAAGAATATTGTTTAGGAAGAAAGCCATGCGCTACTCATCACAAGGTATTTAGATCATTATGCTATAGACATGTGCCAAATGAAAGAATAACCAAACTTGAAGATAAAAGTGAACATGTGATCTTAGTTGGTTACCATCTAACTAGAGCATATATGTTATATAATCTTGTTATTTAGAAATTTATGGTCAGTAGAGATGTAATCATCAAAGAAGTAGAATCATGGAATTAGAACCATGTGGAGAAATAACAAGAGTGGTTCCACGGATCTAATACAGTTTGATTCTGATGAATTGAATTTAGTATTAGCTGAAACTCTAGTTGGTGTTGTGAATCTCATTCAAAGAGCAAGACCAACTAGAAACAGATAGATACCTGCAAGATTGAATGATTATGAAATTGTGTCTGACAATATAATTGATGAGGAAGGAGAAATAATACACTTTGTAATGTTAGCAGGTGTATGACTATGAATTATTAGGATGCAATGCAAGACAAAGTGTGGAAAGATGCAATAAAGGAGGAACTCAGTTCAATTGAAAAATGTGACACATGGAAACTAACTCATATATCAGAAAGAAAGAAGTCAATTGATGTGAAATGGATTTTCAAAGTAAAGTTGAGTCCAAAAGGAACAATACTGAAGCACAAAGCAAGACTTGCAGTAAGGGGTTTCTTTCAAAGACAATGTAGTGGAATTAGCTTGCAGTAGAAGGTGTTCTTTGTGACACATGGATGTAAAACCAACTTTCTAAATGGTTCTTTTGATGAAGATGTATATGTGCCTTAACCTCCATGCTTTAAAGTAAAAGGAAAAGAGCATATAGTGTATATACTATACAAGGCTTTGTACGGTTTGAAGCATGCACCAAGAGCCTGGAATAGGAGAATTGATGTTTTCTTCATTAGACATGGCTTTAAAAAAGGTTCATTTGAGTATGGTGTGTATGCAAAATACAAGAAAGGTGAAATACTATTTCTGGTATCTTTGTATGTGGATGACCTCTTGATAGTTGGAAAATCTCAATTGAAAATTGAATACCTCAAAAGTATAATAAAGTCATAATTTGAAATGTCATATCTAGGTAACTTATCCTACTTCCTTAGTATGGAGTTTATATACAAAGAAGGTTGGATAATCTTAAATCAAGCAAAGTATGTTACTGACTTGTTGAAAAGATTCAACATGCTGAACTGCAATACTCCTGTGACTCCTATTGAATCAGGTCAGAAGCTTGAAGATAATGATGAAGAAAGGCTAGAGGCCACCCTGTATAAGCAGGTGATTGGATCATTGAGGTACCTATGCAATAGTCGACTAGATATCAACTTTTTTATAAGAGTATTGAGCAGATTCATGCATGACCCAAGGAAGCCTTATCTACTAGCTGAAAAAAGAGTATTAAGATACATTAAAGGAACCTTGAGGCATGATGTATTCTTCTATATGGAAGAAAGATAAGAAAAGAAGAGGTGATAGGATTTTCTGATTCAGACTGGTGTGGTGACATATTGAATAGGAGAAGTACCAAAGGTTATGTCTTCAAGTTTCAAGGAGCTCCAATCTCTTGGATCTTCAAGAAGCAACCTGTTGTGACTCTGTCTAGTTGCTCAGTTGCTTGTCAAGGTGCTTGGATTGAAGTTGTATTGACTGAACTTGGATTACACATTCAAGTATCAATCAAGCTCCTTATTGACAACAAATCTGCAATAAACTTAACAAAGAATCATGTCTCTTTTGGAAGATCCAAACATATTGAAATAAGGTTTCATTATATAAGGGAGCAAGTGAACGAAGGAAGGTTGGCAATGTTGTATTGTCCTACCAAGGACCAAATTGTTGATATCTTGACTAAGGTTGTAAAAGGAAAATAATTTTCTAAACTGAAGATAAACATGGGAATGGTGACATTTGATTCAGAGGTTAGAACGACTTTTGAATCATCAGCCTTTAAAGGTATCAGAGGTTGGAACAGCCTAGCCTTTGAAGGAGTCAGAGGCTGGAACAACATAGCCTCTAAAGCAACAACCTCTAAAGGAGTCAGAGGATGGAGCAGCCGGACGTCTGAAGATTTGATAGCTTCTGAACCATCAATCTTTGAAGGAGTCAGAGGTGGGAACTGCTTTTGAACTTTTGGATTCTGAAGCAGTTTTTGAAGAGTGGCTGGAGTCTAAAGACACAGAGTCTGAAGTATCAACTTTTGTTGTATATTACTTGGTGAAAGATTGAATTAAGGGTGCATGTTGTATATTAATTTAAACTTAGTTAGTTAGTTACTTCATGTGTGTGTATATAGTAACTATTATTGTAGTTTTGTAGCAACTTTCTCTAACATAACTCTCTATTATTCAATATTCCACACCCTCTCTTTTCTTCCCTTCCTCATCAACACTCTATCTATTTTTCTCTTAATTAACTTCCGCATTCGCAAGGTGTAATAACACCAACATAATGATCTACTTTGGGGCCATGAAAATACACAATCAAAAAATTGACAAGTTATTAAGAGTTAAATTAATAAGTGTTATCCTATGTGCTATTGATAGTTGTCTATTCTCCAAGTTGACAAATAATAAAGTCGCCTTGTTTATAGGCTTTTAAATATATATATATATATATATATATATATATATATATATATATATATATATATATATATATATATATATATATATATATATATATATATATATATATATATATATATATATATATATATATATATATATATATATATATATATATATATATATATATATATATATATATATATATATATATATATATATATATATATATATATATATATATATATATATATATTATTTTAGATATTTTAAGAGATACAATTCTACACACTTCCCTTTATTAGATACATCTCTAAAAAAATTATAGACCATACCAAGAATAGACTTCACTTTATTATTCAAATAAATCAAATAAACCAAACATGTACCCTTAGGTGTATATATTCTGACCATTGACATGAGTAAACTGTACGTGGAATCTAAATTTTTAGTAAGAGAAATGAAGGTGCATTTTGGATTGTTGTTGTTTGTTATTATAAAAGAGTGAAGAATAATAATCATTAAGTCATATATACTTTAGTACAAAAAATTGAATAACGCCAATCGCCAAAACTGTACAACAGTGCATGTATTGGTTTTCAACATCGGCATTCTTTGTTTTATGTGTGCTAGAAGTTTATACAGGATCAATTCACCACATTTCTTTTGGCTCCATATTCTATACTAAATATACGTGTACATACATCTATTTTTCTTAATATATACGTAACCAAATTCACACCTTCTTGCTATACCTCTACACATTTCCACATGTATTTCTACTTTATCTTATCAATCATTATATTATTTTTCCTATATATATATATACACACAAATACAACTTAATTGTTTTTATATGTACCAATATTTTCCTCTCCCACGCGTTTTGAAAACGTTTTTGAACTATATATGCAGCTAAGGAATCTCTGTAGATACACGCATGCATCAGTCATCAGGCAATAAAATTCAAATTGGACCGTTTTTTCATAGAGGATATGGAGATTAGTTTTTACCAGCCTCACATCGAAAGAGAGATTGAATCACACATAGAAAGAATCCATCCACCTAGGTTCTAATACTATATACTCAATAGTATCTCTCCTTGTTTTCTTGTTTGTTTACCAAATTTTGCGACCAGCTCTGGAGTTCATGGCAATGAATTCATCCTGTGTTTCTTGTTTCATGTGCAGGGTTTGCATAGATAATGATTCATGTAGATACTGCACGGTGGTGAAGGTTAGTAGCAATTAAATAACAGTACTAATTTAACTTTACTTAATTATCTTTTCATTTGAATTTTGAATCATATTAAGCTTTTTAGTCCATTTGTGTTCCCAGATTGATCGAGCTAACAAGCATGGGATACTGTTGGAGATGGTTCAGGCGTTGACAGATCTTAACCTTATAATCTCCAAATCATATATTTCTTCTGATGGTGGATGGCTAATGGATGGTCAGTAATAGTATGTCTCCCTCAATATAATCAAGCTTTTAAATAATGGTTGAAGTCGCGTGAACTTTTGCGATTTCGGTTTATACAGATACTGCAATATTGATTTCGGTAGTTGCAGTATGAATTAACCAGTTTTTATTTATTATAAAAACGGTAATTAACTGTAACGGTACCTACACATTTCAATACCATTTTGTGCAGCCGTTTTTGTGATAATGGACCGTTTTCTAAAACCTTGAATACTATTAGAAACTATCAATGTGTAACAATTATAACAAACTAACAAATTAATTTGATAAGATTATATTTGGACACATGCAGTGTTCCACGTAAAGGATCAGATTGGAAACAAGCTGACAGACAACAACCTCGTGCATCATATTCAGCAGGTATCTTTTGTTTCTCGCATCATCGTATCGTGTTGTGGTCCTCTAGAGCCGTAGATTACCGCAGTTGTTGTAGGGACAAATACATTTGATAAAATATAAAAAACACACAAATTGTGCAGGCGCTATGTGAGTGCAACACAAGAAGGAACAAAGAAATTTCAAGTGCAACAGTGGGACCACAACAAGCCAATGTTTCCATAGAGATGATAGGAACCGATCGGCCAGGCTTGCTCTCAGAGATATCAGCGGTCCTAATGGGCTTCGGCTTCAACATCACATCTGCAACAGCCTGGACCCACAATTGCAAAGTAGCCTGCATTATATATGTTGAGGAAGCATCCAAACCTGGGCCGATCAACGACAAAAAGCGTTTGGCTCTCGTTGAGGATCAGCTACGGGATGTAATAGAGGCTCGTGAAGGAAGAGGAAAGAAAGAGAGTAGTGTGATATTAAAGAGCTCAACAGCCGGGCATAGCTATACCGAACGGCGGCTCCACCAGATGATGTATCTCAGCCGTGACTACGACAGTTGTCACGCCTGCAACAGAAACAATGGCGGCGAACACAAAAGGTGGTGCGACGAGACACAGGTTTCGGTTGATAGATTTGAGGGAAGAGATTACTGGGTGGTGAATATAAGAAGCAGGGATCGTCCTAAGTTGCTGTTTGATATTGTCTGTGTGCTCACAGACATGCAATATGAAGTGTTTCATGCAGCTGTTACCTCCAACAGTCCCATAGCAGAACAGGTAAAATAAATCTTATGCTCAAGCCTCATCTCATTCAACATGCAAACATTTAACACCAAATTTTCATAGCAATGCACCAATTACTGATGTCAATTTATGTGTGTTACACAGGAGTACTTCATCAGGAACAAGTGTAGTTCAAATCTGGACACTGAAACCGAAAAGCAAAAGCTCACCCTATGTTTAATCGCGGCTATAGAGCGCAGAGCTTCACATGTATATGTTGCATGATTTCTTGCTTAAATCTTGTTATTTTACTTTATAAGTTGGATCTTTCTTACTTCATTGCTTTGTTGCAGGGATTTAAGTTAGATATTAGCACTCAAAACAAAACCGAACTACTATCGAAGGTGACACGCGTTATCCGTGAGAATGGACTATCCATAACAAGACTCGAGTTTGAAGTACAGGGAGAGACAGCAATAGGATCATTCTATGTTACAGATTGTTCAGGTCAAGATGTGAATGAAAATATAGTGAAGTTGTTAAAAAGAGAAATTGGCGGGTTAGTTGTTTTGGCTCATAATTCTCCTTATAGGGTCTCTCAATCATCAACATCCATGAGTAACAAGAATGGAGATGTTGTACCAAGATTATCTATTGAAAGCGTGATTTGGTCTCATCTTGAGCGTCTCTCCAACAGTTTCAGCCCAATTAGATATTGAGAAGTTAAAATTACTATAGCATTGTAATTGAACTTCAAGAAATGTATGAGTTATAAATAATAGTTGTATATTACATGAAATATTATAAGAGATTGTTTAAAACTTGTATTTCAATATTTTCTCCAATGTGTGTGTGGCCATAGCATAATTAAAGTATAATAGTAAAAAAAAACCATTGAACAATTATGATTTACTGATCAAATAAATTCATAAACGTTAGTAATAATTGTGACAAATAAAAGACTACAAATCTACAAGTTAAACATTAATTTTTTTGGGTCTATATTTCCTTTTTTGAAATATTGCAAGTCATACAATCTGTTGCCTAGTGCCAACCGGGTAGCATTTTCTATATGCAATGGTTTTGAAGCATGGTGCTCCCAAGTGTTGCCTTTTCTTTTGGCAACGTTTTACCATGTTAAAGAAACACCCCCACACCAGTTAACTTTAGTTATGAAAAGGAAGCATTTTTTGTGAGTAGAAGTATGTATGTCTCAAAATCTTAAACGATGAAAGAGAAAAAAAAAACATAGTTCGTTATGGCCAAAAAATAGATGTGGCATCGATGGTGCGGTGAAACAGTGGAGTTGACCACGGTGGAGGTCCGGCAAAGACAACGGTGGAGGTCGGTCGGCTAACAACAAAAATCCAGCAGCGGTGGAGGTCGAGTTAAGAGAGAAAGTGGTGACAATGGTCGAGTTAAGAGAGAGAAGAGGTAATAATCCTAGTAAAAGAAACTTAGAAAAACAAAATTTTGCTCTGTTAAACTCATTATTCTTTTTGAGCATTTCAAAAATGCTATTATTTACGGTAAAAAAAAATGCATTATTATTGTAAATGAAGTCGAGACAACTTTGAGATATAATGAGCTTTTAATGATGAAAGATTTAAAGGTTAATAATAGTGAAGAATACTTGATTAGGAATTTTAATAAAAGGGTTTTGATAATTTAAGGTTGAAATGCTTTATTTTTTATAAAATTGTTCACTTACAAAATAATTGTCCTGATAAGAAGCACAATAAAGATTTTGTTCAAATTGAAGTTTCATCGAGTGATGAGTGATGATGATTACGAGAGTGATAATGTATTAGTGATATCAAGTATGGAGATTGAAAAAGAGATGGGTCATGCACATAGGATGTTCTAATTACATGTGCATAAGGATAGGATTAGGGATGGAAAAACAGGATATGACACGCTAGTTCGACCCTCACACCCGCCAAAGAATAACGGGTTGCCTTGGGATTTTTGCCCGCATACCCGTTCAGTCCGCCTTACTTTAAGCCCGCCAAAATAAAAGGGTGGGTTGTCTCGCCAACCTAATTATGAAGCACTCAAATCATTTTTTTGGTTGGTTGATAGTTAATACTTGAACTTTAATTTTAAAATACTTGTTGCTGATTTTATTTATATATTTATTTGTGAATATATGCAATACTTTTATAAGTGAAATTCGTTAAAAAGATACTTTATAAAAAATTATTCTAAAAAATAAGTGAAAAATATAACTAAATTGTAAAAATAAGCCTATTAATCTATTAAAAAATAAAAAATAAATAAATAGGCGGACAAATCCGTCGTTCGCCAACCCGCCACCTTGGCGGGACGAGTTAGATTTTTAAAGCCAATTTCACTTGGCGGACTTATCTGCCCCGCCCCTTTTTTGGGGGGCTTAAGGCGGGACGGGTCGGGCCGGGCAACTAGTTTTTCCACCCCTAGATGGGATACGTTGACACTTTTAAGCTAGAAGAATCTGGAGTCGTTTGACTCAAAGACAGTAAGGCTTGCAAAGATAATGGTATTGGTCCTGTCAGATTTAAAAAGTTTAATGGTTGTGATTTCCTTCTACACAATGTGAGGTATGTTTTCGAACTCATAAAAAATTTGTTGTCGAAAAGTATGTTTGACGATCTAGGCTATTACACTAGAGTTGAACAATGAGTGTTAAAAATTATAGGAAGTAGTCTAATGAGGCTCATAGTCGATGATAGTGTTCTGCGTGAACTCAATAGTAACCAAAGGTCGGCTAGTGGCGAATTTAAAACTCCGACAACTGGGTATGAAGGGCGGAGAAGACCTAAGAGGTAGTTGGGTCTTAGGCCGAATTCATTCGTTCCACATGTCATTTTAATTATGGGTCGTGTTTTAGGCCTGAATTGGATATCTAGAGTTATGATAGTTATAAATATAATTATCTTTCACTTGTTTAGCATAAAAGAAAGAGGGAAGATGTGGTAATCCTAGTAAAAGAAACTTAGAATGACAAGGGTTGAAATTTCTAGGATTTGTTGTTTTTGGAATTTGGAATAACATTGGAATTATCTAAAGGGATTAGGAAACATTTCTAGACATCTTGGGTAGAAAGTAGGGTTTATTCTTAAGAACTTAGAAGAATATTTTCTTGTAACTCATTTGTAATCACTTGTAGCAACTTTTAAAGTATATTGAATTAGAGAGTCATTCTCTCTCCTCGTAATAGATCTGTTTGATCGAATTAGATAAGCAAATTATTTGTGTACATGTATTTTATCTTATTCATGCTCGTGTAGATTTGCTAACATTCTCTTGTGTGTATATTCATTATCTTATATGTTTTAAACATTTGTCATGCGACTGATATTTTGTTATTTTAACATGAGCGCAATTGTTTGAAGTCTATTAACCACAACAGAAAGATTCTGAAGCTTTATCAGCCTAGGGATCATTGGTTCCAGAGTGACCTCCAATACTATGGTCTCGCAAGCATGTGTTGCTCCCAGTACAAGACCATTAGCTATGTGTTGCGGTGGAAATAGGATACCAAACTATTAATTAGTTTGAATCACCATTCTTAATTTACAACCGACTTTGATTTATCCGAAGGAAAAGGTCAAAAGAGGGAAAACCTATTTTTGCATCGTAAACATAGTGCGGGGAGAGACCTAGGTAAGGGGTTGGTTAAGCTTAAGGAAGGTACTAGCACCCTAAACTTCTGTAGTACTCTACAGGAACCTTTTGTTTATTTGTATGCCTTTTTATTTTTATTATTTGTTTGAAATATATATACTGAGCTAAGGGATAGAGTGACCTAAAAGACCTAAGGGTTAGTCCTAAGTTTACTCGGCAAGATTCGCATCTTGTGCCTACATATCCTGGATAGGGAATGGAATCAGAGTAATCGTAGTTCCCCTCGAAAGGGAGGTTAGAAACATATTGACGGTGGTCAAGGTTTCAATGGGGAATAAACGTATCTTAAGGACATGCTTACGTGGAATCTTGAAACTCCTGTCTCTATGTTGAATTTATTGAATTGAAATTAGGGTTAAATTAGGGATTCCACGGCGGGAAACCCTAAAACAGAGTACGGCGATTCTTTGATCTAACGCTAGGGTAAAGGGCGTTTTTGTCTACAGCGGGACACCTAGGCTATTAGGGTTTTGGAAACATTCAAGGGTAAGGACTATTGACTCGGCGGTCAAACTGCTAGACCTATTCCTTCATAATGCTTAAACGGTAACACATGCAGGCAACAAATTATTACAACGGTAGGCATAAAAATACAAAAATAAAGAAACAGTAAATGAAATAGTAACTGAAAGCAATATGACCACTCGCGTAAATTACAAACCCCTAAAACCAATGCAAAAATAAAAACCGCGATCATGGCCTCGCATATTCCATGAAACCAAAACAGTACGAATAAATGAAACGGCAATAAGCTGAAATAGACAAACTCATGGGGGGTTAGATGAAACTGAAACGGCTAAATCAAGGACTTTTATTTTTGAACTTTTTATTTAAAACTATTTTTAAATTTGAACTTCTATTAGTAAAAGAACCTTATTTAAAAGAAAATTCAATTTAAAAATTTCACTAGTCACCGGGAATATGGAAAAACTTTTAATTATGACATATTTTAAACATGTTACTAACTAGGTTATAAGCTAACAAATATTTTTTATGATTTTTGCTAAATTTGAAATATAAATTCAAACTAAATTTTAACAATCATGACCTTCACTTTTTGCTTTAAACTTTAATCTTCAATTACTACGAAGGCTTTGATCTTAATAAAAGAATTGATTTTTTTTTATTTTCAAAAAGATTAATCTAAATCCTTACATGTTTTATCTAAATAACCCTTAATCCTTATGACATAAATGAACCGTAAATTAAACTATATAACAAACAAAATGTCAAAATAATAAAAAGAAAAAATATAACAGTATAAATAAATAAGAACAAGCAGATAGGAAAGGGGTGTCGTTTCCTTCTGCACACACTTTAGAATCTTGCTTGTTGCCCTTCTTCTCCTTCGTTGTGGTACCAGCGCCGGAAGCCATTGATGAGCTTCCTTCGAAGCTTCCCACTTCCTTCTTTCACCTTGCATGTCACATTTCCCTCTACCTTTCTTCTTCCGCTTCCTGAAACACACAAAAAACTCAGAGACAAACACCTTATCAGGATGAAATCTTACGCTTTTGCTTTTTATGGTGATGCTTGTTGGACGAAACATCACCGATGATGAACGGAGGTTCTGAGGCTTTCGCGGTTGTAGATGGCGTTTGAAGCCTCACGGGTTCCGCCGCCGCCGATAGTCGCCAGTTCCTCCTCTTCTTTCTGTTAACGAAGGTGATGATGAATCCCTTGGGGTTTCTGAACCTCCTCTCGACGTCTTCATGACGCTGTTTTTGTTGTGCGTTTAGGGGTGATGATGAAATTTGAATGTTTCTGAACCCTTGCGCCGTTTATCCTTGTTAGGGTCCCCCTTTCTTGTTTCTTCGATGGTTTATATATGAACACGGTTTTGCGATTTTGGGCTTAGATTATTGCCGAAAGTTCACTAGAATTTGTTGGTATTTGACTCAGTTTTCAATTTGATTATGGTTGCTGGGATTTTTCGAAAAGAATGTTGCTGGGCTTTTGTTGGTGTTCGTTTGACCTATTCATGGCTTGTTGGATCTGGATCTGTTGTGGATCTGGAAATGGATATCCATATAATTTACTTGATGAAAATGGA